ACTCTCTTCTTTAAAAAAAAAATAAGTAAATACATTTCTGACCACCCCCCTCCCACCACCGCCCCCCATCTCCCCTCCCCCCATACCCCCACTTCTTAGCTCGGTTGTATCTTTTGGTTGTTGTCGGGCCCTCTGTCCCTCCCTGCCGTGCGTCGCCGTCCGGCGTCTCCCGTGGGGCCTCCGCTCGCTCGGCCCCCCGAGGCGACGCTCTCGAGCGCGGCGCCACCACCGCCGCTACCGCCACCGCTCTCCACGTTAAAAAAAAATGGGGGGAAACGCCGAGACTTTCAGCATCAATCACCTCCGAAGAGGTTTGAAGGTTTATTTCCTCTCTCTCTCTCTCACTTGAAAGTGGCATTCTGCTTTAACCCAAAAAAAAATCCTTGGAGCAGCGCTCTGCAAGATGTCATTTTTACGACGGGAGATTTGTTTAAGTTTCCAATTTTTTTTATTTCCCCCCCGCCCACCACCTCGTTCACAAGTTGTCCGTCACTTTGGCGTTTCTGTTTACACGGCTGATGGCCCCCAGTGGTTGGAGCGCACACGGCTTGGCACCTAACAGGAGGTGGCAGTATGGCAAATAGGTTGCTGATCTGTATCTGTCGAGGCCTATCGGCGATGCGCCTCTTCGGCAGAGACAGCATTCACTCGTGGGTGCTGTGGGTATCTGCACTTGTGGTGGGGGTTATGATGCCCCAATGGGGGGGAGGGGGGGGGGAGTTATCCTTTTAATTTATAAGCTCTGATAGAGAGATGACAGACGAGACAGGCGGGAGACAGTAACAACGTGACGTGAGAGAGCGAGAGTGATATAGAGGAGAGACGAAGTTTGAGCGAGGTGAGAGGAGAATGGAGATTGCACCGGTCGACAGCCAAAATGCTTCCGGAATAAATGTAGTCCAACTTTACTAATTCTGGGTCACTGAGAATGAAAATGATGCTTAAAATTGTTGACTGGCTCTAGTCTTCAAGATATGCTACTGGGTCAGTATATACACCTCTTGACTTGGGAATGGCGGAGAATAAGTGATTTATAAAGGGAAGGGACCTCAATTTAAACCAGAAATTACTAAAATACATCTTTGGCTAGATCTATGAATAAATCTATGACTGGGTTTAGGCAGTACTTGCTTTTTGAGCAAAACAATGAATGATGCAATCTGAACCTGGTATTGCATCATACATGATGTGAATTGCATCATGTTATTCCTAGAAGTCATGGATGATGCAATCATAACTAGGCTTACATCCCTCTGCTGAACAAATTGCCTTATATCAGCTCTAGAAATCATACAGTGTCGTGCTCTCTTATGTGTCAGTGCTTGATTTTGCAAAGGGACACATTTATGTTTAGCCAAAGTGAGCAGAGATGCCTCGTACTTGTGATAACAAAGCAGATAACTCCTGCTATGTTTGTGTTGAAGTAACTTTTGCATCACAAAAGCACAGTATAAGCACTATGGTTAAGAAAGCCTATAACCTTTGTTTTGGCTGCAAAATTGGAGATCAGGACAAAATGTAGGCTCCACCACTTGTTGAATCAAGGAAGATTTTGTTACCACCCTTACACATCAAGCTGGGTCTGATAAAGAATTTTGTCAAAGCAATGGACAAAACACAAGCAGCTTTCAAGTACCTCCGTGGAAATTTTCCAAGGTTAAGTGAAGCTAAGATAAAGGAAGGTGTCTTTGTTGGTCCTCAGATTCGTGAACTTCTTCGAGATGATGCATGTGACAGTGCACTGCGTGGCAAGGAAAAGACGGCATGGAACGCCTTCCAGTTAGTGGCAACACAGTTTTTCGTAAACAACAAGGCAGACACCTTCAGGGAGTTGGTGGAAACCCTCCACAAGGCATACAAAAGCCTGGTGGCAACATGTCACTAAAGATACATTTTTTTGCACTCTCATCTAGATTTTTCCCCACCGAAACGCTCTCAGGGCCAATTGAGCCCGTCAATGTTCGCAGACTATTGCTGTACAGTGACAAGAGATGCTCCATTAAATGAATACAAGAGACAAGCCAAGAAGCGCCGAGTACACACTGAATAAGGACTAAACTGTGTAGTTATATATATACATAATAGTGTTTTTTTCCCTTTTGTTTCATAATATATTTTTGATTTATTTTACCCTTTTGCTGATTTTTTAAGTGTTACGTGAACAGGACAGGTGACGTGCTATCATGTAAAGAAACCATAAACACATGAAAAGACCTCGGTTTACAATTAATGAGTAAAATTCTACTGTCTACACAATATACATGGACGTCAAATATAGAAACTTAAATATCTTGAGAACAGTAGCAAAATCAGTTGTTTTAATTGTCATATTTAAATTCAGGACATCAAAATCCATAATGAACAGCACATTTCATCTCTGAAGCAGACGATGTCTAAAAAAATTGTAGATCAGTGTTGTCACGGGCAGGCATGAGAGGAATTCATTAACTTTTAAAATGTTAATTACTCGTTCTGGATTTCCTGCGATTAAAATTCTAGCTGATGATTGGATGACCTCTATTTTTTTATCTTTCTTCACAAATCCGTGGCCCCTTCAGCCGCTCGGGAACCCTTACACTTTTGTTTAGTTTGCTTCTGCCTAGCAAAACACCCCTGGGCGTCTGGATGCCCTGAAGATTGTTGTAGGCAAGGACTAAAAGACGCCCCGCGACGTTTCGTACGAAAAAAAAATCACAAATATTAGTCTTTTGTGTCCTCACCTATTTTATCTCTCTCTTCAGAAAAGTGGACGTGGAATCCGACTGCCTCGACGCCGTAGCGCACGAACCGTAGGTACCGAGCCACTCGTATGCACTCCGGGTGAGATGACAGAAGAGTTCTAGCCACGGGATGGACGTGAGATGTCGTGAAGGAATGGACTCAAAGTCACGTGATTTAGGCGCCACGGTGGCGAGATGTTAACTACCTCGCCTGGTGTGCAGGAGGTCGCGGGTTCGACCACGACCCTGACGCCTGGTGTATATTTGGAGTTTGCGTGTCTCTCTATCGCCGTGGTCGCGTGGTTTTTTATCCGGGTCGTCAGGTTTTTCCCACCACATTTAAAAATCAACATGTGCGTTCAGAGTTTTTGGCTGGTGCTATACATTTCCACGTGATGAGCCGCTTTGTTAAGCTATCGTTTGTGGCCAGGTCGCTTCTGGAAAAGAGCTATATAGCTCAATAGGGCCTTACCTTGTAAAATAAAAATAGTTTAAATTTTACGTGGGTGTCTGTCATGTTTGAAACTTAACCAATTATTTGGTGACGCTACTGCGTTCATTGACAGTGGCGCCCACAATCACAAACGACAGCAGACAACATCGCCCCAATTCATGATATGACTTATATCTTCTCAATAATACATCACATTTTAGAAAGTAGAGTCATCTACGTTTTCAGATTCGTGTATGGCATGTTATCGGTTGGTCGTTTGGTAAACGTATATAGATATGTTTCTATACATAAAAAAACAATAATATCCACTCTTATTTTTGCATTGACTTTTTTGGGAAATTATTAATAAATTCCAGTTTTCCCTATGGGCCGTTCCCGGCTCAGCCACACACACACACACATATACGCACGCATATACACTCACACACGCACACACACACAAACACAAAAGACTGTCACTGGTGTTGTCCGTTAGCAGGAATCGAACTCAGGTAGGCGGGTTCGCAGTGCAGCACGCTAACCGCGACGCTACCGCTCCCCACATACCTACACACGCACACACACACACCTACACACACCTACACAATAACAGCAACCGCCAATCGCCACTAAGTGGCGGTGGCGTTACCACGACGCTTGTGTCAGGCCATGTGCACCTTGAGGCCACGTGAAGTGTCGAATGCCCGCTGGCAGGAGGTCACGGGGCAGACCCAAGTGCCACGGGTCGGCTGACTAAGATGACTGGGATGACTGGCTGATGCACCACCTGTGCCCCCTACTGTGCCAATCTGCTGTGTTTTAGCCACCCGGCGCTCCGCTCGTTGTTGTGAGCGTCGCTCCTCCGCCCTCCGTTGTTGTTGGAGGGCGACTGCCTCCAACTGCCCAGCAGCGTCCTTCACGAGCCTAATCCACAGAGGCCGATCTTGACACCGCTGGTAGCAGTCATCGGCAAGTCCACTCAGCTCCACGTCCTCCTGTACCACATCACTCCATCTCTTCTCTAGCCCGTGCTGCGCCCGTTTAGCCCCCTCGATCCGGCCGAACAAAGCTGTTTAGGCATGCGGTGGCTGGGCATGCGGGCTACATGACCCAGCCAACGCAGCCTTGCCTGCTGGAGGAGCTCACCGATAGGACCTTGTCCAGACCTTTCAAGGATTTGTGAGCTCCTCACACAATCCAGCCTGGTTAAACCCAGGATGGATCGTAGGCAGGCTAGCCTAAATGTTTCTAACCGGCAAAGATGTTCCATTAGGGGGTCCACGTTTCGCAAGCGTAGAGAAGGGAGGGAATGACCGTGGCCGAGAAGACCTGAAGCTTAGTGCGGAGCGACAGACCAGGTAGCTTCCACACAGCGTTACGCAACCGATGAAAATACATTGCCGCTCGACTGATTCGGAGTGAGACCTCTGCTGTTAAACCGGAGGCAGTCATGAGCACACTGCCCAGGTGTGGGAAACTCTACACTCTCTCCACAATTGCCCCATCACCGATTGGGAGTTGTGGGAGTGGAGTGTCCGATGGTACAAAATACCCAGGCAGGTGCTTAGTTTTGGTGGGGCTGATGGTAAGGCCCCACCTCTTAGTGGTACGCTCCAAGTTCAGCAGCAGCGCCTCCAACTCCTCCTCTGAATGAGCAGCAATTACCAAATCATCGGCATGCATAACGTGGTTGACCAATAGGGAGCCATCCCTTGACCGCACCCGGGCATCGATTAGCCTCCCATTATATCTGTACCAAATGGAAATTCCCCCGGTACAGCTATTGAAGGCTTCACGAACTACGTGGTCAAAATAGATGTTAAACACACACACACACCGGTCCTCACCGTCTTGGCAGCGTTTCCCCGTGAATCCGGGGCAGCATCGCCACTCCAGCACGGACGCGAGGCGGTACGCGAGCCGGTACGTCGGTCGCACCACACTGCGGTAGCTGCCAGGACGACACACGCACGCACACAAAGATAAAGATTCCCCGTATAGCCTCAACACACTGTTGGGGCAAGTGCTGTTAGCGAGTAGCACCCATAAAGGCCGGCACGGCACACAACGAGGGGGGGTTGCTGTGCTCTATACCTAAATCAGCTCAAGGCTTCCTCAAATCACGCGAATCTGAGTACATCCCCTCTCCACGCCCCATGTGAAAACGGACGCCGTTCCGTGCAGGTCACTTCTGCTCACTCCTTCCTTCTCTTTCTCTATCTGTCTCTATCCCTCCGCTCTCGTCAACACCATCACCTCTCGTGCCTGATATCTTGGCCCGGTCATTCCTTTTCCCCCCTTCCTTCGCCGGCGCTCCTAACCTTTCTTCTTTCCGCTGCTCATCTCGAGCCGCGCCCTCTTTGTTTGTCTTGGGGGGACTTCCGACCCGGCACCCCCCCCCCTCTCCCCCAGTCATCTTGCCCCTTGTCTGCTGCCCTTTAGCGCTGCTGACTCTACTCCCCTTCCCGTGGTCTGCCAACTGGTAAAAAAACAACAACATACTTTTATACCCATTCTATTCTATTTCGCATTTACATAGTGCCCATTCCAGGGCGCTTTAAGATGCAATCCCGACGGCGTTCAGTGCGGAAGGCGATGGAATGGATGAAGGGACAGGGGGCTGGGAATGGAGCTGATGTTGCTGGAGTAGGTGAAGGCAGGGAATGTGATGGTGAGTGAGGGCGTCTGATTGGTGCAGCGTGGACGAGAGGCAGTGGGGTATGGGGAAATGGGCATGGATGAGGATAGATGATGGCAGGGGCAGAGGTCTGGTGGCAGCACAGTTGAGCCGATGGAGGAGCACAGTGTAGGGCTGGGGTAGAGATGTGGCATGGTGCACATAGAGAGCGAGGCGTCTGAGCTGGGTCAGGAATTAGGGTCGTCGGTCGTCTGGGGAGGGTATAAAACAAAGTAACCATCATTGCCCCCTGTGTCGTCAGATCTCAGCAGCTAAGCAACATTGATCCAGGCTAAGTGCTTTGGTGGGTGTGGATGGGTCTCAAATTTGCGCGCTAACTTCAGATGTAATGGGCGTTTTCACTAGCAGAAGGCAGTGCGGTAAAACTCATTATCCTGCCCCCCCCCCCACCACCTTCACCAACCCGCACAGACCACAGCGGTGAAGTCTGTTCGAATAAACCATCACGACGACACGCACGGCGCGCGCGGGGGGTGGGGGGAGTGGGGTGCCCTCGTCCAGCAGTGGATCGACACAACGGGCGGTGCGCGTGGCAATGTACCCACACATAATAATAGGGCGTGATCGAAACGACCTTCGGTGGGTAACTGAAACAAACAAAATTCCGAGAGTTGTACAACCATTACGGGGGGCCGCCCTCTTACAACGGGAATGCAGCAACGCCCCAACTGAGCATGCACCCCCACCCCCCCGCGCGCCCCCCTTCTCAAAATAGCGCGAAGTAACTCAATGCCTTGCAGACCCCTGTCTCTTTCGCGTAAGCCGTGTGTGCGTGTGTTCGTGCGTGCGTGTGTGCGTGCATGCGTGCGCGCGTGTCATCTCCCGCCGCTAACGAACCGCCGAGTATTTATTTCCTGGCATCAAAAGGGTGACGGCGGTGGCAGGCGGCACGGCGCGGACGCTGGACGGTGGCTTAAGAATGTGGCCGCTACGCTCGCTCCAAATGCGAGAGACGAGTGAGGGGGGGGGAGTTGGCTGGAAAATCCGCGCAGAATATGGAGCTCGATTTGAGCCGAGAGATTGTTCTCAGCGTCACGGAGCGTAAAACCATCGCCACGTGGAACTCCGGTCGTCATCCGGTGGTCACCGCATCGCGGCATTTTCAGATGAGCTTCTGCAAGCCCCGTCTGGAACGCTCTTCCTTCCGATATTCGGAAGCCGCTGGAGCTATGTCGCTTTTAAATGGTCTAGATTGAAAACTCACTTCTTTGGAACTGGCTTTTTGTGTCGTGTGTGTTGTTCTTCGCCCCGCACCTCCGATTAACGCGATTGAAAAAGTACGGTGCGAAAGAAGTTCAACATGCCGTACATACATCACCACGGTCAGACCGACTGCTGTGTTTCGCTACCATCGTCCCCCCCTCCCTCCACCACCACCTCACGTTCCTATATTAACATTGCTCTAGTGCAAGTATAATAGCGCTGTTTGTTTCTGGCCGTTTAGCGTTTGAGTCTGTGCTCACAGACATACATTCATAGATCGTGCCCGTGTGAGGCAGAGGAGCGAGTAGCTCTCAGCACGTGGTTGTGAAACGTCAGACGTCACACCAACCGTCACGCGGTTTGGCACGAGTTTTTTTTTTGCTGTCGTTAACCATTCCGCGGACTTAAAATATCTGCATGTAACCCGAGGAGCAAAACGGGCAAGGTTTTACGCGTCTCCTTAAATTTATTGCAATGCCTGGGTCAGCCCCCTTCCTCTCTCCCTAAGTCCAACCTTGGAAAATCTCCGATTCTAGAGCGAGCGGCTACTGATTTTGCGGCTGTTGGCGGCGCGTTACAAGTTGACGTCGTCGTTGTTGATGTTGTCGTCGTCGTTATCGTCACGGTGACCCGCTGGTGAGCTCACCTGATTTTGGGGACGCATCCCTTGGCCCAGTGGCAGGCGTGCATCACGCGCCGCACGTACACCTCGGTGCCGTTGTGCACGGGACACGGAACCCTCCTGCTCACCGGGTACGGGCACCAGTTCCTGCGGCGAGCGGAGAGGCAAGAGGATCACGGTCAACAGAAAAATAAGAAAAACCCTTCAACTGTTTTATTTGACCAGGTAAGGCTTATCGTCCGTCACGTGGAAATGTATAGCAGACAAATACCATTATTGGTTCTTTCGGTAAAGTTGCGTACATAAATACAAATAAAAATGTATAAAATACAATTTTTAATACAAATGATAAATAATGTATTTTTTTAATTGTATTTTTTTTCTATCTACGTGACTTTACCGAAAAAACCAACAATATAAATTCCTGCAGTCACGAAAGTTTTAAGTCAAAATTCAGCCAAATACTCTAAATGTCATATTGATTCTAAAAGTGGAAGGGGGAAACCAGAGAACCAGGAGAAAAATCCACGCGACCACGGAGAGAGAGGGACACACGTCAACTCCAAATATACAGCACTCGTCAAGCTAGTTAACATCTCGACAGCGTGGTGAGATGTTAAGAGTCCGGCTTGGGCTGAGGGCGAGGGGTTGAGGGCTTAGGGGTACGGAGATCTCTCGGCCACCCTCGCCTATCCTCTCATCGGGCGTCCAATAAATCACGCCGGCCACTGCCAGTGAGAACGTGGGATGAGGTCATACACAGGTGTAACAAAATACAAAACTCCACACGTCCGTCACCAACAACGTGGCCTTAAAAGGGAGCGTATATAATAATAGGTGACGTTTCAGGCAATGGTCTTTCTTGAAGAATAAGAGTTGGAGACTTCACTTTTACACCATGAGGCCTGACCAGAATTACATTTTAAAAAATGTTTCCTGACAAACAGTTATTTTTTATGTACAAATACGAATAAGTGTATCTATTCGAAGCTATTTGAGTAACGCAGCAGAGGTCTTTACGGATCAACTCAAGGAAACTCCAGTTGTCCACTGGAAAAGACTCCTAGCCATGGCTAGGTTTATGGTCAGCTTTGAAATTACGGTTAGGGCCAAGATTAGGTCAAATTTGTGGATCGTGGGATTATGGCGAGGTGCAGGTAAGGGCTGTTGGAAGGATCGGTAGGACATGTGAGCAGCACGTGCCCAAAGTAGTCACAATGTTCTCGATGGATGCCAGTGCCGGCCCCACGCTCGCCTACGACTACAATGCAGCGTCTAGTTTTGCACAGCAGCGTCTAACTCTGTGATCGTGTCTCAAAACGCTGTCTGCAAACAGTGGGTGGTTTTATATTCTAGAGAGGAGGGGGTGGCGTGGGCAAGCGGTTCATGGGCAGGGAAGAATAAACCACTGAAGATGTTGAGCCTGAACGTGAGGAGAGGCCACACGGAGTCGACATGATCAGAATATGAATATTTAATTATGCTGGAGGAATCCGATGAGCTATAAAGCTCTTTTTTCACAGATGTCCAGTCGGGGCGGGGTCAGAAAGTTACAACAACAAACAACACAAAAACACGATAGGAGTGCAAGGTAAAGGAAAGGATAAACAAATAACTTACAAATAAAACTTGTTTTTATTTTAACAGGTAAAGCCCACTGAGATATTATCTTAGATTTCAGACGCGACTTGACCACAAATGATAGCCCCAACAAAGTGGCTTTTCGCGTGGAAATTTACATCAGCAAAATAATCTGAATAATCTCAGTGCCTGTTTCTAAGTGTTCAGAGGAACAGCATTCCAGACACCCACCCCCCAATACAATTCGCTATCAATGTTCTGTGCTGCCACTGTGATTCTTCATTTCCCGCTATCCTAACCCCCACTGTCCACCCAGCAGTGTCAATGAGTTACACCAAACATTTCATCGATCGGCTGGTGGGTTGGAGAAGAGATGGAGTGATGCGGTACAGGAGGACTTGGAGCTGAGTAGACTTGTCGAAAACTGGTACCAGCGGTGTCAAGATCTGCCTCTGTGGAGGAGGCTCGTGAAGGACGCTACTGGGCAGCTGGAGACAGTCGCCCTCCAACAGCAACAACGGAGGGCGGAGGAGCGACGCTCACAACAACGAGCGGAGCGCCGGGCGGATAAAATGCATCAAGTTGGCACAGTAGGGTGTACAGCTGGTGTGCATCTACCGGTCATCTCAGTCAGCCAACCCATGGCACCTGGGTCTGTCCCGAGACCTCCTCCTGTTAGCGAGCGTTCGACACTTCACGTGGCACCTAGCCTGGCACAGGCGCCGTGGTGACGTCACCGTCACTTCGTAGCGAATGGCGGATGCATTGATATTGGTGGGGTAAAGCGTGGGCTGTTACTCCCACCTCTCCCGGTGTGGCAGAGTGGACCAAACAACTCTCTTTAACGCTATAGGGAGTAGAGGGGGGTGGGGGGAGCTCTGTCAAGCGAGGGACCTTCCTCCAGCAGTGACGTGTGTAAGGAATTGCAGCGCTGCACCTGGCCTCACTTCACCCCCTGCCACCCTTACCGGGACAACACTGCCACTTTTGTTGCACTTTTTCGTTATTTATTTTTGACCCAAGGAATCGAGGGCAATTACGCAGCGGCAAAGGATCGAGTGTCCGTCACGCCACCCCCCGCCGTCAGCCAACCCACTCACGCACGCACCCACCCACCCTCTCTAGCTCTGTGGTTATTCCTCACGGTCAGTGCAACAGGTGTGTGTGTGTAGTGTACTAATCATAGTAGGGGAGCGGTAGTGTTGCAGTGGTGGATCGCGCTCTGCCCAACGAGCCCGCCAGTCCCGAGTTCGACTCCCGCTCATGCGGCCACCAACACCCAGTGACGATTATCTGAACCGGTTCTGGGCCTCCCCTAGGTCGACTCAGCCTCAAGTGAGTACCCGGTGCGATGTGTAAACATCGCCACTGGGGAGACAAAGGCGGCCGGGCGTGGTGCTGACCACACACCTCCTCGTGTGCCATGCCGGCATTCATAGGTGCTCGCTCACACAAAAGTTTGTCACGGCTATACGGGGGATCTTTGTCTTTGGATGGATGTTGGGGAAACAGATGCTGGCGGTGATCGCGATAGAGATAGTAATGGTCGCTCTGGTGATTGATGGGAGCGATGAAAGTTTAGTGGAGGCGATAATGGTTGCGGTAGAAACGGAGCTCCTCGTGGAAGATGCTAATGGTGACGGAGGAGATGGTGATCAAGAAGATACAAGTTGGTGGTAGTGGTGGTGGTGGTGATGATGGCGATGGTTATGAAGTTTTTAGTGGCGATACGAGCGGCGGTCCCGAACTATAACGCTTTAAAAAAAAAAAAACAATGTCCCAACAATGGTTCGGGCACCTTGTAAGGATGCCCCCCGATAGACTCTACCCGGACATCTACCGGGCAGCAGCAACGTCCCACTGGGCGAAGACCCCGGGGCCGGCCCAGGACCACGCTGCTGCTGCTGGCGGGACGACGTCGCTCGGCTGGCCTGGGAACGCCTGGGAGTTCCCCAGGAAGAGCTAGAGTCTGTGTATAGTAGTGTATAGTGTAGTGTATAGTGTAGTGTATTGTAGTGTATAATGTAGTATATATTAGTGTATAGTGTAGTGTATAGAATAGTGTATTGTAGTGTATAGTGTAGTGTATAGTAGTGTATAGTGTAGTGTATAGTAGTGTATAGTATAGTGTATAGTGTAGTGTATTGTAGTGTATAATGTAGTATATATTAGTGTATAGTGTAGTGTACAGTAGTGTATCGTGTAGTGTATAGTGTAGTGTATAGTGCAGTGTATAATGTAGTGTATAGTAGTGTCTAGTATAGTGTATAGTGTAGTATTGTATAGTAATGTAGAGCTAGAGTCTATCGCCAGGGGAAGGGAGGTCTGGACCGCCCTACTCAACACGCTGCCGCCACGACTCTTACCAGGACAATCGGACTGAAAAACGAACGATTTTTTTGTTAAAAGAGCAATGTATTTTTTATCTGTGCGGAGTGATGCTTGCGATAGAATGATGATTAGTATCGCATCCTCATGTCTGATGTCTCAGCTGCTGAACTGCTGCAGAGTCGATCATAAGACCCCCAAAGTCAAATGATTCCAAAGCAACTCCAACCTTACAAAGTGGCCAGGAGACGCCAGTAAAACAATGGATGTTTAAACATATCTGTTTTGAGGCTTCACGTTCCAACTCGTATCGTCGACATACTAACTCCGGATATTATACCTCGACACTTTCTCACCTTGGAAATTCTCTCTCTCTCACTCGAGTCCCTTCACAGTCGAAGTTCCAACGCCTATTTCTCGACATTCGAACCCTTGCTCTAAAAATTTAAACTCTCGAAGTCCAAACGCCAAACCCCACACCCTTCCCCAGGTGGTTCCAACTCTCCGCGTTCTAACTCTTGCTCTAGACCCTGGGGTCGGCCAACCAAAATAACAGAGAAATTTTTTTTGGATTTCGATACAATAAAACAAACAGAAAAAAACCCCTCAATATATCAAGAGCCGCAATGCAACCGTGTTGGTGAACACGAGACGGTGGGGGTCTTTAATAAACATCTGTCACGAGGCAGTCCTTAAAGAGCGCCGCTCGTGCGGCCACGGCTGCCGTCCCCTGCATCAGCACACTTCACGGTACAAGTCCCGAGGCGTGTTTCTCGACATTCAAAAAAAAAACTCTTACGCTTTGGGTCTATCGGTAAAAGTCACGTCGATAGGTTCAAAGAAAATAACAAACAAAACTACGACGTTTCGATCACAAAAAAACTAAAAAAAAACTACGTTTAGATCACAACACGAAGAATATTAATTCCTGCAGTCACAAAAGCCTTAAAATTCAAACTCTCCTTGCTCCTCGCATTTCAACTCCGAAAGTTCTAACCCCCCCCCCCCCCAGGTGGTTCCAACTCCCCGTGCTCTAACTCCAAGCAACTCGAACCAACTTAGCGCATCTCGACGTTCTAGCGCTTACCCGCCGCTCGCCGTTGGCAGCATGGCTGGACGCACCGCGGGCTGGCCGCGTGCCCAGGGCCCGCGCAGCTGCGCAGAGGTCGCGCCCCACGGGAGCCGAGGAGGAGGAGGAGGCGGCAGGGGAGGCTGCGCCCAGCAGCAGCAGCGCAGAGCGAGCAGCAGCAGCAGCAGCGGCGGCGGCAGCGACACCAGGAGAGGCGACGCGCGACGGCGAATGCGCGACCCGGCGACGGACCCCATGATCTCCCTCTCCTCGTCGTCTTCTGTCTCTTCGTCTTCCTCCTCTCCTCTTCTCCGCTGCTGTTCCTCAGTCCGCCCCCTCCCCCCTCTTCTTCTCCCGATGCTCCGCCGCCTCTGCTTCCTCCCGTATCACTCCTCCACGGCGTGCGACTGCGGCACCCTCGGCACGCTCCTAAAAGCAACGATCAGGCTCAACGGTGCCACCTCGGATGTGAACTTATTGCCGTTCCTCGGCATCAACGTCAGCCACGCGCAGGCGACGGAGGCTCCTCTCACGTTGCTCCTCGCCCAACCTCCTCCACTCCTCTCTTGCTCTTCAGCCTCCTCCTCCTTCTCCCCTCTCCTCCACTGCTGCACCTCTCCCTCTTCCTCCTCTCTCTCTCCTCCGTTGTTGATCTTCAGCCTCCTCCTTCTCCCTGCGCTCAGCCCATCAGCATCACTGCGCTGCTGCTGTTGCTGCTGCTGCTACACGAACTTCGTTGGGGACGTGCAGGCGGCTCCAATCGTTGCGCTGTCCCTTAGAACAAAGCGGTGACCCGTGTGAGAGTGAGAGTCTGCGTGTGTGTGTATACGTGCGTGTGTATACGTGTGTGTGTGTATACGTGTGTGTATACGTGCGGGTGTGTGTGAGTGTGGGTATGTATTGCGTGTGGATGGATGTATGAGGGTTGCTGCGTGTATATATATATGGGGGTGTGGTTTTCTGTGTGTGTACGTGAATGTGTGCGTGAATGTGTGTGTGTGTGGCCTGCGTTTTTGTGTTGTGTGTATGAGATTATGTGTACGTGTGTTTGTTGTGAGCTTATGGGTATGTGTGCGTGCGTTTGTGTGTGTGTGTACGTGCTGTCGCTAACAGTGTGTGTCTGTATGTTTATGTGTGTGTGCTCGCTCACGGCACTTGCCTCAACAGTCTGGTCAGGCTATACGGGGATGTTTGTTTTTGTATGTATATGTGTGTATGTGTGTCTGTATGTATGTCTATGTGTGTGTATGTATGTGCGTCTATATATGTGTGTGTTTATTTCTACTTCTGTGTTTGTATGCTTGTGCCGATGTGTATACATATATGCATGCACGCGTGTATCTGCGTGTGGGAAGCCAGCAGCAATCGCGAGCTACGGTTAAATCTGGAACACGCCGTCGGGATCAACTCTGCATCTGTTGTGAGTCGCTGGGCACACGAGGTTTAATTGTGCCCCCCACCTCCCCTTCCTCCTCAGACCCCCACCCCATCCACCCCATCTCCTAGGACCCCCTCGCCCTCCCCCCCATCACCCACTCTCAAAACACAAGGCGACAGAATTCGGGGCCAAGTTAGGAGGGATGCACTGACGGTCTACAATAGGCTGTGTGTGTGTTCGTGCACCGTTAGCGAGGACTTATTAAGGCCGCGTGTGTATTAAACATTCAGAACGACGACGGTCGATGGCCAACACCACGGATGCTGTACTCCGGCTGTGGTAGCTAAGGAATGAAACGCGTCTCAGAGGTACGTCAGCCAAGGAGATGGAGCGATGAAATCACTTCACGTCCAGGTGCGAGGTGGATCAATCGTCGGGTTCGTGAGAGGTGGCAGCGAGGCAGCGACTTGGGGTCTTCATCCAGCAGTAGATTGATTATTGCCGACAATGATGTGTATTGCCAAGACAAAGACCCCCCCGTATAGCCTTAACAGACTGTTGGGGCAAGTGCTGTTAGCGGACGCTTATGAAGACCGGCACGGCACGCGAGGCGGTGGGTGGCCAGCACCATGCCCGGCCGCCTTTGTCTTCCCAGCGACGATGTTTACACACCGCACCAGATATTAATTTGAGGCTGAGTCGACCTCGGGGATGCCCAGAACCGGTCCCGCTTATCGTCACTGGTGTTGGTGGCCGTGAGCGGGACTCGAACTCGGGTCACCGAGAGTGTAAGTGCAGCGCCTTCTGCTCCCCAGGCGCACACAACTTGGCACTCTCTTCGACTTGTGAAAATGCGCACCTGCAATCAATGAGCAGAGCCTACAGCGCGATATATATATACAGCCTGCGTTGCTGCGCGTGTGGTGGCGGGAGTGGGAGGAGGGCACGTGGATGGCATCAGAGGGCAGTGAACCCCAGTAAATATGCAACACTGGAGCCAACGTTAGCACGTGGTTGGTCCAAAACATTGTTCCCGAGGTTTCATATTTGCTGGGAAGCGAAATCCATTGTTGCACCGGATCGTCCACGCTCCCGTACCTGCCTCTCGCCTTCACCAACTCGCTCTGACCGGCGTGGCAAAGTGTGCTCAAATAATCTCCCACGACCTGCACTGCCTGGGGAGGTCCCCCATCAAGCAGGTGGATTGATTGACAGACATGAACTGCATATTGTACGTCATCAGACACCGGTCTTAGAAGGGTCCCCCAAATTGCCATTTTCCACGACGCACCACGGTTAAATGATCGCACCAGGTTTACCCACTCACCTCCGTTCAAGTACACATTGAATAGTGGCACGCTGCACACGCGCGTGATGATTGCTAAACGCGTCTCCACGTGCAGGGCACTCGCGAGGCGCAACTCAATTTGACGCGTCTCTCTGCGTCACGTGGGGGGGGGGGCATGTTGTTTAACAATCATCGGGCGCGTGTGCAGCGTGTAATGACGCACGCGTCTTCGAATCGCAAGAAGGTAACTTTGTGACGTTACGCGGTTGCGCTGCGAGGAGTGAAGACGTTTCGCGATCGACCCGGGGACACGGTCATCTCGAGGTTTTAAACTTCGTCTTTGGCTCAGCGATGACCCCTGGCGGGCGACCCTCCGATGAGACCCGAGGCACGCTTGAAGCGTCCGACATTCATAAGCAGACAATAAATATGGCATCCCGATGGTTCGACTTCGTCACAAAACGTGTCGCCGTTGCGTCCGCGAGAGCGGTCCTCCTGGGGCTTGAGTGGCTGAGTTCGAGGGAGGAGAACGGCTTGCGGCGACAACTCCGTGGGGACACCGTCGGCCCAGCCTCGACCTCGATGCGCAAACTCCTGCGGACAATCCCGCGGTTCAGTTGGCGGTCGACGATCGAAGTGAGGACTGCGAGCAAGCCCCGTAATCCGTGTATCAAACAAATCACTCGAGACGCAAATGTATGGCAGCCCAAAGAGCAGTTTGTGCGAATGCCGTCGCGAGAGAGGTCACACGTTTGGCGCGACGGCTCCTTCGCTGACCATGCGCGCGATGAACGAATTAATACATATTATCCGCATCAAACAAAATACAGGTTTTTTAAAAAAATATATACACAACTATTGTTTTACACGTCTCGTCAAGCACCAGGCCTTCTCAGAGTGCGTAATCTCAACAGTATTGTTCAAGACAAGCAAACTCTGGACCGGCTTCGACACACACGGTGCTTCATCGGTAGAGACCATCAACGAGAACTTCGTGGCATCCTGTCTCATAATGTAAATGTTCGCCCCGAGCCCTCAATACTCTGATAGTGCGCTGTTTTTGAGTTGTACGCCTTTTGGCGTCTTCTGGTCCAACACAAGTGGAGACTAGGCTCTAAGAAAAGCCGTCTCGGGTGTGGACCAATCAAATTCAAGGACAGTGCATATTATTATCAGAGTTGTCTCTTTCGTTTGCATTTTGACTGCTTGTGTTGTGGTTATTGTAAACATGATGCCTTGAATAAAGGTGTCAGTTTTTGTGCCAGTTAAAAGGGTAAAACCTATTACTATATCCTGTAAATAGTTGGTAACTCGTTTGCAATTCAAGATGTAGCCTTGTTGGCTGCAATCTAACACTTGAACTACACGTTTAATCGTTTCTTGTTTTAACAGCAGCTACCACGCATTAAACTTAATAGTTCACCTTTTGATCCACTTGCACTATCTACTCTATAAAGAAAAGCCAAGTTTCTGCAACGTGCTATATTGTGGGGTAAGCTTTCGCTAGGATACCCCAGTAAAGCACAACATGTACAGCGAGACACGTCCCGTCTGGCTTCACCGCATCATCTAAAACGGTGTCGGGACACAACAAATTAACGATGTAACTATTATTTATTTTACAAGGTAAGTCCCACTGAGCTACATAATAGCTCGTTTTCAGAAGCGACCTGGCCACAAATGATAGCTCAAAGAAGTGGCTTATCACGTGGACATTTATAGTAGCCAAATACTCTAAGCGAGTGTTTCTAAATGCGGAGAGAAACCCCGGAGTAGCCGGAGGGGGGGGGGGGCAATCCACGCCACCACGGAGAGAGAGAGCCACACAAACTCAGAATATACGGCACGCGTCAGGGTGGACATGCAAATCTCCAAATACTCTATACAGGCGTCAGGGTCGGGATCGGGATCGAACCCACGACCTCCTGCATACCAGGCGATGCATATAACATCTCGACCCCGCGGCGCCCCGCCTTAATGTTTTCACCGTAACTTTGTCGTCCGTCCAAGATTTAGAATGAGAAATGTATTTCCCGAGCAAATCCCCGTAGAGCTAGGAAGCCCTTTTTCTCAAGTGCGACTTGGCCGCCGGCAGACAACATCAAAGCATTACCACAGTGACAGTTCAGGGAGGAAGAGAAGGGAGCCGGGGGGACTTGGCCGACAGGAAAGAGCAAAGATGAGCGCTTTGCACAAGCGAGGACATTCTCCTGCAAGAGACAGGGGCATGTCTCTAACAGAGGCTTGGGGTTGTGATTACACGTGGCTCCGCATCACTGAAACATCTGGATACTTGAGTAAGAGCGTGAAATTGTGAATGATTGTTGTGAAAACCATGTCAAGTATACTAAACGTGCGAGTCATTGGCCGTTGAAGAGCGGTGGTACAATGGTTAATTCGTTGCGTCATGACTCCAGCAACCCCAGTTTGATTGCTGGTCATGGATAACATCCGTGGCCGGTGACATATTGAAAATTACTGAAATTTGTCGTTGTGTTTATAGTAAGTTATACAAACATTAACTACAACATTCAAAATGATGACGACTCCCAACCCGTGAGCAGTATCACCGCTGTCAGAGAGTTTAAGGGGGGCAATGTTATTTTCAAAGTTACTCTGCCAAAGCTTTAATATACAATACAAACACAGATACATCATGGGATCTCCTTTGCCAGTACCAAAATATGATAATAGGGTTTTCCCCTTTAATCTGGCAGCAAAACAGGTGTTAAGGTGTTAAAACACCAAACTGAAACCTTTAACAAGGAATCATGTCTGCATTAACCACAATGCTTGTGGTCAAAATGCAAACAAAAAACATGCTCTGACAGTATATGCATTGTCCTTGAAACTCATTGGTCCACACCAGAGACAGCTTTCTTTTGAGCCTCGTCTCAAAACGGTTTGGCGTCCTCTTGTCTGTTTTGTTGCCAGAAAAAAGAGGAAAAACCTATTATCAAACATAGATACGTTACAGTGCAGTATCACATGTTATGTTATCTATAAGTCTCCACAAATTAAATGTAATGTAATAATTTAAACAGTATAGTAATCTTTTGATTTAAAGCTTTCGTGACTGCAGGGATTCATATTCTTGGTTCTTTTGGTAAAGTCACGTGCTGTGGTTTTCACACCTGATGATGATTGCTTGTGTTGCAGTCGAAACGTCGTGAGAATTGTATTGTTTTATATTTTTATTATTTTATTGTTTCCCTTCTACGTGACTTTACCGAAAGAACCAAGAGTATAGTAATCCTGTACTATTGTGAAGACACGGGCTCACAATAAGCGCTGGGTGCAATAATCAATCCTCGCCACAAGGCGGCGGCAGTCAAGAGGTCGTGGGTTCAAATCCCACCTCCGTTATAACTTATTATATTTTCACTTAAACAATGTGATTTACTTCGTGATTTGTTGCAGTATTTAACAGCATGATAACATTAAATATACAAATTCCAAAAGAATTTAAACTAGATGTGTTATTATATAATGATACAAATTATTGTATGCAGTATCGGGCCGCGGGAAAGGTAGCAGTTATTTTGCCGGTTATTGATAACTAGTGCACTGGGCTTAGCCCTTTGCTTTGTAATTAGGGGGTCTAACGCCTGTTACGGGAACCACCAAATTCGTAACTCGTAATTAAATCATAATTAAATATATTAATACTAGCTGTATTACCCGGCTTCGCCCGGGACTTGGATTCACCACGCCCGGCCGCCTTTGTCTCCCCAGTGGCGATGTTCACACACAAAACACCAGTTACTCGTTTGAGGCTGAGTCGACCTAGTGGGAGACGCAGGACCGGTTAAAATAATCGTCACCGGTGGTGGCCGTGAGCGGGAATCCAACTCGGGTCGCCGGGTTCGTAGCGCAGCGCACTAACCACTCACTACAATGCGTTACGCTTCCACGTGCGCGGGTCACGTGACAGATTTGACGTCACAGCTCACTTGCCGTGCAAAAATAAATGCATTATTGAGCTCCCCCCCCCCAAAAAGTGTATTTCTTTTTATTTTTGCATGGTGTACAGTCTGGGAAGTACCCATATGGCAAATTTCAAGTTTGTTGCATGTCTGGAAGTACGCTAAACATTAAACATTTTGAACAGACACACATAATCACAACTTTGCCTTTGTATATGTATGGAGATCATATTTACTTAATTGTTGCACCGTACGTAGCCAACCGTGCTAATCGTAGGTGCGGGCTAGAAGGTGTCGCTGCCATAGCTGAATTGAATACCAGGCATTGAGACGCCCTCTTTTAATCAACATACCTTCAGAGTATTCGGCTGCTATAAATGCCACATCATAAGTCACTTCATTGGGCTATCATTTGCCGGCAGGCCGCTTCTGAAAACGAGCTTAGTGGGCCTAACCTGCTTAACACGTAGCAAGCTATCACGACCAATATCATCCATAAGAGTTTTTTTTTTAGTTGAGATCGCGTAAATATATAAATGTGTCGTTAAAACCCGCCACCACCCGACACAGCCAACTAGTAAGGGTTGTCACGTAAACAGAACGTGGCCAATTCGTCACTAGTACAGCACTAACCGGTGTGTTGGAGAGCTTATGGATGGGCCTAACCTGGTAAAAAAATGTTTATACTCTTGATTTGATTGATTGTTCACGCTTACAGTGGCTTTCAGACAGCATAAAAAAAAAATTCGTCTCCCCCCTCCTCTTTTCAAAAAATAGATGGACTAGTCCTGGGCAAACTGCCAATCGCTGCGCGTGACGCAAACGTTATTTTTATATATAAATAAATAAATGTGCCGTTTTAAAAATAAATTTATGCAAACCGACACACCTGATGATGACCGTTTGAGTTATGGTCGAAACGTCGTGAGAATTTTTTATTGTTTTATATATATTTTGTTATTCTGTTGTTTCTCTTCAACGTGACTTTACCGAAAAAACTAAGAATATGTTTATACTCATTGGTTTTTTCGGTAAAGTCACGTATGTAGAAATACAATAAAATTTGAAAGTTACGTATGTATTTCTACATGTATTTCTACATACGTGACTTTACCGAAAAAAACAATGAGTAATTTATGCAGTCACGAAAGCTTTAATTCTATATTAAAATGTTTATAGTTTAGTTTATAATGGGAGCAACGTTCAACAAACATACGTCCCTGTCATAGGAATGTGGAATTTACACAAATAGCATGTGATAAAATCACATGAGCAACTACTCGTTTAAGTTAGAACTCACTTTTAATGCATACTGTACACTTTTTTGTTAATTGTATCGATACCAAACTTAAACACGAGGTGGCAACCACGCCCAACTTACCGAATACCAGAGATTTCTCGCCACGTGTTGAAGTCGCTCGCGATTGGTCCAAACGTGGTCAGCAGCTCATTGTTTACATCACGTGACAGCCGCTGTCATCGGTAATGTAGCGTACGATATCCCAGCTATTGTCTACAAAAAAATCACTATACACATACTTAATAATTGTTTTCTTCTTAGATATGAAATAAATATACCAATGTTTGACACGAAGACTTAAAATATTTTTTCTCCCTTCATACCACCAGCAAACGTTTACTCAAGATCTTGCATTCTTGGCACAGAGTTTCCTAACAGCTTATCCTTTCTCGAATGCACGTTGTTTAATTGATTATACAGATGTAAATCACGCCTCCTTGCCAGGAATGTAGTAATGCATTGAGACATCATCGACTAATATTGATTTATGTTTACGATCATCATGATACATGTACTGTCAATGTTTTACTGATGCATGTATATTTCATACATATACATGCATCAGTATTTATATGATTTAAATTATGTTTACAAGCACTGTAAAAAATGTTGTTACTGTACTGTACTTAAATTGAGTTCTGCGTCGAGTTATTTGGCACATTCATTTTGTATGAGTGCTTCCAGCAGCGGATACACAAAGGGCTGTCAAATAATTACCATCTTCAAATCAACCTATGTCTCACGTGCAAATCCACCCACCAGCAACACTAGATGGTGCCAGCCCAGACTACTGTCGAGAAAAGAAACACTAAATGCATTTCTTGATATCACTAATCATCAGTTCGTGTGAAGCTGCTAGGTGGATTGTTATACATCGCAGCTAGGGGTCGTGATATGTCAGTTTCTTTAGTTATTCTCTTTCTTTATTTTGGTATAGCCCTGTGAGCCATTCGGCTCTTGAATCGGGTGCAACCACAACAAACAAAAAAAACAAAAACACGAACAAGAAAACATCTTAAAGTGATTAAGTGTCTGTCACAGTGGCTTTGGGTGAATGTCCAACAGTGGATGGACCACGGCTGAAGTTGACGACATTGGTGTAACCATCAACCGCATCAGAACATCAACAAGCCGATGTACATATCTTCAAAAATGGAAATGTAAAGGCGCAGACCACAGTGCGATTGTGGCGATGTAACTCAAAATGTGGACCATATAGTAAACCACTGTTGCCTGCGCTCCTGCAATGTAGGAGGAACAGCTAGACTACACAAACTCTTTCCCGAAGCCCTATCCTAGCTAGTAGAACTCTCTACATTGGCATTTCGCTCCAAAACATATTGCCATACGGAAGAATATAATCCAGCGGTGGAATGACAAAAATGGCTGTAAATCATTACCAGCATCATTACGATCTGAACCGTCTTTATACATCAACTTACACACATCAACCACCACCACATGTAGCCAACCTTCTCACTACTACTACAGTAAAACAATAACTCCAATTCATGATGTCATTAATCAGTTCGTGTGGAGGCGCTAGGTGGATTATTACATCGCATCTAGCTAGGGTCGTGAAAGGTCATGGTGTCTTTGGGTGAACATCCAGCAGTGGATTGACCGTGGCTGTTGATGATGAACATGCTGATTGCCACAGCTCTCATTTCCAATTGACAACATCTGGTCCATGAAGATGAAGTCTCCTTTATCCAGCAGTGTGATCACTAAGGGGGCTGTAAATCATTACCATCATCACCATTGTAAATGTTGTGAGTGTATTCTCCAATACACCGGTATGCTAAAGTAGTAAATGATTGGCACGTTTTGTTAACTTGACAAACATTCATATTCTTAGCTCTTTCGGTAAAGTCACGTTGAAGGAAAACAATAAAATAATAAAATATTGTTTATATATTTTATATATTTTTTATAATTTTATTGTTTCCCTTCAACGTGACTTTCGTGCAGTCACGAAAGCTTTAAATCAAAATTTGACAAACATTACTAATTTGATTGTGTAGGGTGGTGGCGGGTTAACATCTCGCACGGTGATGAGATGTTAACTACCTCGCCTGGTATACAGGAGGTCGTGGATTCGATCCCGACCCTGACGACTGCAATTGTATATTTGTTAGTTTGCGTGTCTCTCCCCCTCTCTCCTCACCGGGGTCGCGTGGATCCCCCCCCCCCTTCTCCGTTTTTCTCCCTCCACATTTAGAATGAACATCACGCCTTAAAGAGTCTTTGGGCCGCAGTCCCTTTCCACACGAACGACAAGGCCACTCCGTTTGAGCTCTAGACATTTCGTGACCCCAAAGTCGCTTCCGAAAGCGAGCTACATAGCTCAGTGGGCCTTAAAAACAACAACGCAAAAAAAACCTTTTATTATGGACCCATCATCACACGGATCCTTTGTCTCTGTGCGTCCCAATCCATCAACCACCACCACGTGCCCCCCACCACCACCTAGCCCCCATCTGCTTTACAACAATCAAAACACAATTCCAAGTCGTTCGCTTCTGATTGGCCACTGCCGCACGTTGCTCGCCCTCCTCTCTCGCCGCCGATTGGCCGGGCGGGTCGCGCACGTGGGGGGTGGGGGGGGGTGTTGTGGGAGGCCCCGCCTCTTCCTCTCTGACGCGTCAAAATAAACCCGAGCGCTCTGCTGCCCAGCTGGTATCATCATCATCAGCTGCCGTGCCTACCTAGCCACCACCTACCTACACACCTAGCCACCTACCTACCTACCCCTGTGACCACGCAGTAGTTGGCTAGAGCAAGCTAGCAGTAGACACACACACAGAGAGATACACGGAGAGTGAGAGAGAGAGCATTGTATTGTGTCTGCGTCTCTTCGCCTCCGTGCTGTCTTCCGCGGGTTTCTCTCTATCGCTGTTGTGGGTTTTTTTGTTTGTAATTTTTTTTATTTTCTTCGCCACGACCGTTGTCCTCCTCGACATCGTCTCTCCCGCAATATATCCCCCGTTTCTCCCCTGCGTCGCTTGCCTTTTCTGTTGCGAGGTGTGCGCGGGATAGGAGCTCGCAAACTGAACTCTGTTACAGTATTTTTTAACAGCGGCACTACCCACCACCACCACCCACAACAACAACCCTTCCTCCTTTTGTCCCCGTAAGTATCGAATGCTGGTGCAGCAGGAACAACGAGTTTGTTGACGGTGTGTGCACGTACGTACCGCCTATGTCGTGTGTCCCAATCCCCCCTTTGTGAATAATCTTCTGCGTGTGATTTGTGTCCCCTTTGTGAAGGTGTCCAAATGCCTCTTGTTTCTCTCCGTGCGCTGCCTTTGTGTGTGTGTTGTGTGTCTTTGCGCAGTGTGCGTACTGTAGCTACGTACGTGTGTGTGTCTGTTCTCGTATGTCCTGTGTTTGTGTCTATGTACACGTGGGGTGTGTGTGTGTCCTGAGTGTGTTTTAATCGGTGCGTGTCCTGCTGTGTGTCTAGGTGTGTGTGTTTTAGGTGTATTTTCTGTGTGTGGCGATGTGTCTTTGTTTCTGTCTTTGTTGTGTCATGGTGTGGGTCTGTGTCATGGTGTGTCTCTGTGTGTGTCATGGTGTGTCTCTGTGTGTGTCATGGTGTGTCTCTGTGTGTGTCATGGTGTGTCTGGTTGTGGTGTGTCTGGGTGGGTTTCTGTGTTACTGTCTGTGTGTGTCATGGTGTGTCTGGTCTGTGTGTGTTACTGTCTTTGTGTGTCATGATGTCTCTGGTTGTGTCTGTGTGTGTGTCACTGTGTGTGTGTGTTACTGTCTGTGTTTGTCATGGCGTCTCTGGTTGTGTGTGTGTCCTGGTGTGTCTGTATGTGTGTGTGTCTGGGTGTGTTATTGTCTTTGTGTGTCATGGCGTCTCTGGTTGTGTCTGTGTGTGTTACTGTCTTTGTGTGTCATGGTGTCTCTGGTTGTGTCTGTGTGTGTGTTACTGTGTGTGTGTTACTGTCTGTGTGTGTCTCCTTTAATGTGGTTATACCGCATTCTACTTGCATAACCCTCTCGCATAACCCCCCCCCAACTCGAGACGTGTGCGTTGTGTATTGCCGCAGATGGTGTCAACACGGACAGACTCGCCAATGTTACGGCCCTATGCAGTATACATGTGTGTTTATGTTTTGATTTGATTTTAATAAATTGCCTTTTTGTGTGTCACGGTTGTTCAAAGCTTTTGTGTGTGTGTGTGCGCGCGTTTGATTCTGCACCAACACATTTTTATTTTGTATGTGTGTTATTTACTAAAGAACGGCCATTAAAGTTGTACTTTGCTGTTGATGTCTACGGTGTTTGTGGTTTTTAAATCTGAATGTTAAGTTGTTGTGGTGTTTTAAGTTGTACACCGTCGTGTTCGTGGCCGTGTCTTCACGCTCGTCTGTTTAATTCGCTGTACAGTGACGTGTGGTTTTGTGTGTACATTTTTTTTTACATTTCTGTTGAGTTTGTATTCGTGAATGTTGTTTTGTGTTTCGGTGTGTAATCTGATCCTTTTAATGATTGTGTTGTGTCCTACTGTAGTTATAACCTTTTGATGCGTGGTGTTATCCTTGTATTGCGCTGTGTGTGCTATAGTTTATACCTAATTAACACGTCTCTTTTGTGTAGTCTTATCCCTTATTAGTGATTGTGTCGCTCTGTCGTGTGTGTATCTCTGTATTGTGTCTCTTGCTGTGGCTTTTGTATCATTGTTTTGTGTTGCGCATTACGTTCGCCATTTAGCACGGTCCGGTACGAGGTGTAAGGGTCCAGTCGAAACACTTTCATGAAAGAGGCCACACACACACACGAACATTATCATTGTCACCACCACGATTACTTTAATAGGTTATTATAAACATGAAGATGGGTTATGTGTGTGTGTATGGGCGCGTGATAATACAAAAAATAGTTGATGCTGTGTGCGTGTGGCCTTTCTGTAGCAACGTGGCTCTGTGCACGGTACTGTACGTGACCACACGTGTTCGTGTCGATGTGGCTTGTGTCATGTATGTGTCATTTGTTGTGTGTACCTACGGTGTGTCTCTGTTGTCTGTGTGCACTTAGCCTGCCATGAATGTTATGGTGACGTCGCTTAGTTGCGAATGGCAAACCGTTGTATGTATGTGTCCGTGTCAATGTAATTGTGTGTGTGTGTTTGTCATATCGTGCCAAACCCATACTGCTGTTAGCCACGTCTTCTTGTACAGGGAAGTTGAGTTTTCACGTCCATAGGGCGTGCAGCCGTTGCAATACGGGCAACAAAAATTAAAACTCTCTTATTCGGTTGTGTTTCTCCCTTGTGATGGGACTTTGTAGGATGAACTTTGAGATGTATAAAGGGGCCACGGGGTGACCAATAAGGTGTGAATTGGTCTGTGATAACGTATGGCACTGATACGGGATTGACATGTATGCTGTTTGATGCGTCTGCCTACCTAATGGCCCTGTTACCTACGCATGTCTATGTTAGTGTGTCTGTCTGCGTGTGTTTCTACTGTGTGACTCGCACAACGTGTCTGTACTGCATATGTATATGCACGTGGTTATTTGCGTATGTGTTGTCTGTGCCTCGTGTGTGTACGTGTTCGGTCTTGTCTGTAACACTCCCATCAATCACCACCACCACCATCATCGGTCCGCATGTCTACGTGATCATTGTACCTGCCCGCTCACACCGCCACTACATTTCAATAACAACGTTATATTTAGAAAGGCATGGGACGTAAGCGGCAGCAGTATTTATATTTGACAGTACATCGCAGCGTAGGCTTCTCAAGGTAATCGCGTTGGGAGAAGCTGGCTGGAGTAACGCATTATATACTCGTTCGTATTAAGTACAAAGCAATGTCCAGTACTGGGTAGTGTGCAGTGCCGCTACGTAGTACATCATTACAGTATTACACGCGCTCGCATTAAATACGCGGCACAAAATTACGCATTTGGCCATTTGTTAGATCGTTTGGCTTGGGCAAATCCGATTTAAACCACGAATTGTGTCAAACCAAATGTACAGTAGTAATTGTAGCGCCTCCTCGTGGCTGCAGGTGTTACATGAAGCCACTGCAAAACGGTGTCAGGGATGCTCTTTAAACTTCGGCGTCAACTAAAATATTCGTCGATAGAGCTGGTCATGAAAGTAGAGCAATCTTCTAGGCGACATTTCGGGCAATGTTTTTTTTATGTATCTGCCATAAAGAAGGTCCATCGCCTGAAACGTCGCCTGGTGTTATACCCTTTTTAGGGCAGTGTTGACGGTTATGAGTTTGCTATTTCTGCTTGTGCGCACCGCTGTGGCCATGCGGTATCACCAATATAGTTTGCAACTTAGACGTGTGTGTGTGTAATATATAGTTATGTGCAAGTTGATTTACACGTTCATAAAGTTGTATTTGTGTAACCGGGTGAGAGAACCCGAGGTTAGACCAGGGTGAGTCGTTTTAAAGTGAGCTGGTGATTTGGAAAATCCTATTAGATCAAATAATACCGAGTGATACATAATTTGTCCCTTTCACACTGTTGCTCATTTCTCGCTTGTACAGGTTTGGTGCCGGTCGTTGCCGGTCGTTGACTCAAAACAAATTCTAAATATTACGCCTGCGTGAACTATCTCCCACGTTCCAAGCAATGTCTAGTGGTTTGCATAAGCAGTAATTTCCATAATTGTTTTCCAAATGACGTAAATTTTCTAATAGTATGCTAATAGAGGCAACTAAAACTGCAGACGAAAAAAAAACCCGAGTACAAAACTAGGCAGTCTTTATAAATATATACTCGCATAATGGAAACAATCAAATCGACACATCGGAGGAAATGGGTGAATGGTTATAAAATGCAAATGTGCAGCCCATCAATTTTCATTGTAATGCCACTGCTGGCAGGAAAGGGCCTCCCACTAGACGGAGCTCCAGGGTGTTTGGCCTACTCTTCCGCAATTGACCGGTCGATTGTGTTGTACCCAGGTACGCAGCTGGCAGAACAAGAAGACTAGGGGATTAAAGGGGGGGGGGGAATGTCCATCGCGTAAGCTGCCATGCCTGGAGATTGACTTTTCCCACACCTGGCACTCCACGTCCAATGTACGTCTCACTATAGCTGTGGCTACTACGAGACAGGTGCCTCTTCATCTGCCAGCGATTCATCAAACATTCAGTGACAATGGACCCTGATTATACTCCTACAAATCATTTCAAACGTGTCTATAGCCCTCTCATTGGCCAGATAATATTACTAGAATTAAAGGGGCTATTTAGATTGCCCTTCTTGGGGGTCCATCTGCCAACGGTGTCCGTTAGCTGACAATATGAAATGTATTGTACCGAGCGGTGGCTGTACATCCAATGAATTATAAAAGAAAACACAGACGCACAATAGAACATTCCACGTGCATTGGGCCTTTCTGAAAGAGACGCCTTCGTGTATTGTGTCTGGTTTGTTGACCTTCGGTTTTGTTTGTTGTACTAACACGGGAGTGGCACGTGGGTTGAGTGTGTCTGCTGTGGAAACTTGAATAGGCCTTCCTTTGTCCACTTGCTGCCAGTGCTAGCTCTTGCAGGTGCAGACTTAATGATCATCATTGTCACCATGAAATCAACAGCAGTTTTTTTATCGCCATCATGGTGAAGTATGGTCAAATCACTCCCCACAAGGCATGGATAGGCCCTCATCCAGCAGTGGCTTAACCAAGGGCTGTCAATTATTTTTAACACTTCCCAATATTGCAAAATGAGTATTGCGTAGTGCTCAATTGCAGATGAATTAGTTGAATACTTTTTTTGCAGATTATGACCTTTGACCAAATCAGTATTTTTATGGGAGGAAACCAATGAGCTATGAAACTCTTTTCACAGATGTCCAGTATGGACCGATCAGCAAGTTACAACAGCAAAATCACTTGGGATGTTGTAGCCTTACCCATCAAATCTTGGAAGCTGAGCAGGTTTGAGCCCTACACGGCCAACCATTGGGCACATCAGGTGTCGTCGTCGTTGTGGGAAGTAGAGGGTACTGCAACAAATGTCATTGTTCCGAATTCCCTTCACCCAACCCGCACTGATCAGTGTGGTGAATTATGGTCAAATACCCATCCACAGCCTGCATGATGTGAGGGTAGGCCGTCATCCGGCATGAGGACAATGATGGCCATTGCTATTAAATTGACCGTGGATTTCATGAACATCGCCACCCATTCTCTCCCTGGATGAAGGCCCTCCTCATGAGGGCCTTCATTTCTAAATAAAACAACTCAGCTCTTTTCGTCAATATTGACCCTTTTCCCGAAATATTGCCTTTTAATGTACGCTTGACAATTTCATTATTTGAAGGCTGTGTTGATTAATATTTTTTGTTAATTGTGCTTGTGCACCACTGCTAACGAAGCATCACTAGGTCATCTGTTTATAGATAAGTACTGTCAATAATTAACAAATGAGCGGGGTTATTTAATGGCTGTAATAAAATAACGTAATTTAAATAATTGACCACTACAATCGAAAGATAAATACAACCCAACAGCATCTGTATAAATTAGGCGACTGTATGAATGCATTATAATAATCGTACAAATTGATGGGTGTATAGGGATGACATCCACAATACGATCACGGCACTGTTTTGATTCGTATAAATGTCTAAATGAAACCTCTCAAGATGCTGTCGTTTTTTCTGCCCTCTCCTGTGCCGACCAGAGGTCACTTGGAGACAGCTCTGTGTTTTCCGCTTCTGTGGACCGTTCTGTAACACGCATGGGGTTGCGCTGCGCTCCGAGAGATCTCAACTATCTGTGTCATGAAATGAAATGACAGTATAACCGGGATAAAATTGGGGGGGGGGGCTTTATTTTTTTACAAAAATGTAATACATTCTGTCATTTTTATTTTTGAATAAGTGCTGTATTACACGTGTGCGCATGCATTTACATCAGTGCCAGACTGATTGTATTTAAATTAGGATGTAGACTAATGAGCCAGATCTCCTGATGGCGTCTTGCATAATGTTGTTTGATTATGCTAATGTTGTCTACAATATATTAATTCAGCATTTGGTCTGTGTATCTCAACTCCAGCCTTCCAAGACGCTCCCCCACAGTCTACCCTTTTGTGATTAGAAATTTATTTTAAAAAATGCATATGTAAATTAAATCACTGCACACACATCTGATGGTTGGTAATCACGGGGAGCTGTCACGGAGGTTTGCGATGACTGGAGTTGAGAAACTGATCTATGGCACTCGTGCACTTTGCAGCCCAGTGGCTTTTACACAAATACAAAAAAACATTCCATGGGAACGTTGATGACAAACATTAAAACAGCTGGTGTGTGTTGGTTCAACGCAAAGATTACTTGGCAGGCTGAATCTGGAATGGAACCTTGGCAACCACGTGAACAGACGGGTTCAATAGCTTGCACGCTCACTTGGCACTTGCAAAATGTATAAGTCGCCGTGCTGTTGTGCTATGGATCGACTGACGTGAGACTTGTCATAGGAATGTGGAATTTCCACTGCCAGTGCAGATGAATTCTACCCCACACTCATTTTGGTCCCAAGTACTTGGCAGATTTTTTCTCCCATTTATAAATGTGCTGTCGATGTCACGTCATGAGATGTATGTAACCTTCCACTTGGGACTTTCACAGTGAGCAGCACTGTGAAAAACGCCCAGGAAGGACATGTCATAGAACTTCTGTGATATATGTTGCATGCCTTGCAAAGGGTGTTTGTCACCCCTATTCAATTGCTAAATGGCCCCGTGATTTCATTTTTTGTCGACAGGTACCGGCAGACTCGTGCAGCTGATCCAAACTGCCGAGCAGAAGGAGAGAGCGGGTGCGAGAGCTATTGAGCAGCGAGCCGCCCGGGCGAGCGAGAAGGAAAGGAGGAGAAGGAGGAAGAGGGACCTTCGTGGTGGAAAGAGAGCAAGCGAGCGAGAGCGAGAGAGAGAGAGCCGCCGCGGCTCTAAAGTTGGGACCGGGAGCAGCCAGCCAGCCAGCCTGCCCGCGCGCGCGCGCCGCCAGGGGAGAAGGTGACGGAGCGACCCTGGCACCATGGTGAAGCTCAGCAAGTCCAAGACCTTCCAGGCGTACCTGACCAATTGCCACCGCAAGTACAGCTGCGTGCACTGCCGCGCCCACCTGGCCAACCACGACGAGCTCATCTCCAAGGTGAGAGGGGCGCACATGCCACACGCCACGGGCACCATGGGCACCACGGGGAGCGGCCACGCCACAGCGTCCGAACGCATTGTGAAGGTGGCTCAGACCGCGTGCCGTGTTATCCGCGAGCTCGCTGAATCGGCCACACCACTGTGCACCGTGCGTTGGAGGGGCGGCCTCAACGCATATCGCACACTGTGCAGACAAATGAGCCTGTACTTTATACAACAGCGTGCAGAGCCAGCCTTAATTTGCACCATTTATCTTACACCGTGGATAGTTAGCCTCCACACACGATATATCACACACCATGAAAAACGTCTCAATGCACACCACGTGTCATTTATATCCAGCCTCAACAAACACCGTACATCACATACCATGGATAGTGAGCCTACAAAGACACACCATCACACACTATGGATAGTAAGCCTACACACAAAGCAAAGATCCCCCTTGTAGCCTTAACAGACTTGGGGAAAGTGCTGTTAGTGAGCACCTATGAAGGCCGACATGGTACGTGAATGGATGGGTGATCAGCGCCATGCCTGACCACCGCTGTTTCCCCAGTGGCGGTGTTTACACATTGAACTAGGTACTAATTTAAGGTTGAATCAACTTAGGGGAGGGCCAGGACGGGTTCGGATAATTGTCACTGGTGTTGGCCATGAGCGGTTATCGAACTCGGGTCGCCAGGCTCATCACGCAGCGCGCTAACCGCTGCATCGCTCTCACACTTTGCAGTGGCAGCCTCAACATACACCATACATTACACCACTCGGAGTGTAATGCACAGCGACGAGGTCACAGCATCAACGACCTAGCTCAACGTTTTGGTCATGTGCCGCACATGGAGCGCTCTCTTCAACACCTCCGATTAGCACGGTTGGCTATGTACAGTGCGAAAGAAGCTCAACATACAACACACACCACACGTCATGCAGATCAAACCTCAACACGAACCATTACATGCAGATCCAACTTCAACACCATACGTCATGCAGATCCAACCTCGGCACACAGCATGGAGAGATGGTCTCAACACACATCATACACCACACATCATGTTCTCGGCCTGTGCAGATGCACCACATGCACACAAGTACACACCACATGCTACGGGGATCCAACTTTGACACCTCGCTCACCGCACATCACACACCTCGCTACCAATGGTGCTCGGATATTTTATATTTTTCTCTCCTCACTGTCTCCTCCTTATCTGTTCAATGTACTGTGTTGTGCCACCCATCTCAAGCCTGCCTACTCTCTCTTCACATTCATCTTTTATTCATATGCACGCCTTGTTCTCTCTCTCTCTCTCATCCCATCTCTGTGTGTTTTTTATTATATAATTTTAATCTCATTTACATCAATCGCGCGATGTCGTTCCTTGCCTCTCACCCTGCAATGAATTCATCCCACATATCCCATCCCTTGCCCTAGCTCAGCCCCTGCCGCACTTCCAATTCAGACCAACGTCTCCCACCTTCCCTCCCTCTCTGGCTCTCTCAAGCGTCCAGAAAGAAAAAAAAAATGGGCATCGGTGCTGAGAAATTAATGCCAAAAACACAAGCCTGAACATTCTGTACATTTACCAAATACAAGTCACAGAAGTGGACCGGGTTGTGTGCGCATGTTTTTTTTTGTCTGAGCAGTTAGGAAATTTGGCTTCCTTTTTATTTTATTGTTTACGTCTGCGTGATTTTTTTTCTCTTTCGGACATGCACCGCTTCGTAAATCGGCAGGAAATGAGCAGAACAATGTAATGACGTGCATTGTCTGCCCTGTGCTGGTTGTTGTTGTTGTTGTTTTTTATCGTTATTAAGAATGTAGGGATGGTTGCCGTGACGTCATGGTTCGCGCACTGCACTTGCAATCCAGAGGTAGCCTCCGGTTCGGTTTGATCTCCCGGCGCGGCATTTGAAGCGGTGGTCAAGTTCAATTAATCACTGCCCATCGATCGGCATGTCGTATATGTGGTGGGGTAAAGTGTGGGTACTCCCACGTCATCCGAGACGTCTGGCCAGCGTGCGCAAGTTCGTCAAAATACCGTCTCTAGACGGGACCCTCCGGAGCCACCCTCTGGCAGGGAGGTCCTTCCAACGGTGGCGTGATCGAGCAATGGTGGGGCTGCACCTTTACCTCTTAGTTTAACGCGTGGGGGTTTTCTCTGAAGCCGCCAGGAGTATTGTCGTCAGCGGCGGTGGGCCCCATCGATCTGCTGCTGGTCAGCGCTGGGAAAAGTACGAGAATGCGGTGTGTTCTTTTAAAAGGGGACGCGCGCTTGCGCAACAAAAAGGGGATCGCGTTTGGCCCGTGCCGAGTGTTGGCGTGTGTTGATATACCATTGGTCGGCCTGCGCCGGTTTAGAAGCAGGCGAGGGCCTGTTGAGATGCAGCACCGCTCCTGTTTGTCAAACGGGTTCTTCTGGCTCCGATCTCTGGGTCACGGTCAAGTTTGTTTTGAGGAATCGGACACTGTTCACGGAATAGATTCTCTAGAGGTCGAGTGATTGACCTTGCCAGCGATTTAATGACTTTTCCTAATTAAGGGTCATGATGCGATTCAAGAAATGATTATTGTTTTTTTATTAACGGTGTGGTGAATGGTAGTGCCTATAGTGGCTGAAGAAGTCAAGTAAACCCATTACATACAATATTTATGAGTTGATAAACAGTGATTTGTACACGCACGATTCAATGCGTGCATTGTTAGCTTAAGCATAAATGTTAATTGATTAATTTACACATTCTGTTCCTAATGTATTGCAGTTTAGTCAGTAATGATAGATCACGTGACTTCTGCGTGGACACCCCAATTCTGAATCCCTCCCCTCTCCCCGCCCCCTGTGAAAACACACTCTGCTCCGTGTAGAAGCATCGAGGCCCCTTAGCCTCTTCCTCCCTCTCCTCCATCTCTCATGACCCCTTTGCGCCCATTTTTCCATTACATTTTCCCCATCATTTTCCTCTTAATTCCCATTCTCTTCCCTCTCCTGCACCTTTCTGCATACGTTACGTCCTTAACTACATGCCCCTTCCCGTGGTGTGGCCGCAGGTACAACGTTGCTGTTATAATTACTTTAATAATGATCGTTTAAAGCCTCTTGTCATTGCACAACTGGATGAAGTGGGCATAGCTTGGGAGTTGTTTCACCATAATTCACCATCCTGATCTGTGCAGGGCGTTGAAGAGCGGAGGACTAAAAGGGGTTCAGATATCACTCGCCACTGATGTTAGTCTTGGCCAGCAATGGAATTCAGGTCGCTGGGTTTATAGCCCAGCGTGCCAACCACTGCCTCTGTTCCACCCATGTATATTTTTACACCACTGTAAATTCTATCCCTACCCTAATGGTGAAAGTATGTTCACGTACCGAATCAATCTGGACCCCGAGTCTTAATCGTGGTCCATATAATTACCACACTTCTGGTAAACAATGATGCATATCTCATTGGTCCACTCCCTGTCTCATATCCTATTACCCCAGCCACCCTCCCATCAATCCGCTCTCTCTCAGACTCCTGGGTAATAAACTCTGGTGTCTGATCTTGTTGTACCTTACCCACCCTGAACTTATAACATCACGTTACGCATGGCTCAGCGGTAAACAATGTATTTTATTGATGTCTGTTGACATGTGCTCTGACGTGAGCAGTGGAAACTATAAAGTTTTGTTATTGCGTATGTAAATTTAGCTGGCCTATCCTCTGAAAGGTACATAATGCTAATAATTAAACAAAACATTTTTTTTACCGAGGAAAGCATCGCTGAGTCTCAAGACTCGATTTCAGGAGGGCCCTTCATTGGGATATTTGGACGCTTCCATTTCTAACGGATGTTTGGCTTCATGCGGGAGAAACCTGGAGAAGTCTGAGAAACCCCACCACGCATATATATTAAAAAATATATGTAATTATTAATTTAATATTGCGTCGTTCATGCAAATTGCATCTAACATTTGCCGAGTAGAAACCACAAACAAGCTTCCAGGCGGTGAGCTGGTGCCAACAACTGTTCTGCAGTTCTTTCTATATATATAGTTCAAGATGGTTTCAGTCAATAGGTGTTGATGCATGTGTGAGGGAACCGGCGCACTCAGAAAACCCACGCGTGCGACGGGGCAACACCCTATCCCATAGGGGAATAGACCGATCATATCGGCACGGCCATGTCCTGGCCGCTCCTCTGAGCCCCACGCCTACAGCGCCTGGCAGGGCCCTGGTAGTGGTGATGGTGGTGGCCGCCCATCGTCTGCCTCCGAGAGCCGACGACATTGGGGCCTATGCAGCCGCAGCTGCCGCCGCGCCGCGGTGGGGGTAAATAAATAATGAAATAAGTGGTGTACTTGCCACACTTGGCCCGGTGTGCCGAGCCACGCGCGTCACGTACACCACCAGCGTTTATTGGAGCAGCGGCCACAGCAGCAGCAGTGTGAAAAGATGTGGCTCGTTTAAATATTCATGGGTCGGGAAGGGGGTGGGCTCCCGCACATGCACACAGGCCGGCCGCCAGGGTCTTCTCCTGTCGGTGCCGGCGCGTGTGGTGGGTGCAGCGAGCTTTGCCACCCATCCACCCTCCGCCCTTTAGCTCCCCCCCCCCCCATCTCGCTGAGCAGACGCGACTAATTAAACTTTTTTGCAACACCGCGAGTGTCCCATCGCCACATCCCCAGCTCTCCAAAGCACGTTCGATCCGTGAACCATAACCACAACTGAACTTTCCCAAACCCTTAACTGTCGGGCTGCCAAAGAAGATTCTGTCTTCGACTCTACTACGCGTGGCCATCGTACCACCGTTGTCACCTTCTCGACTCCTCAAACAGAATTCGTTCCCTCTGAATCATTGCTATAAGAATATTCGGTATCTGAAGTATTGATTCTCCCACTGGCATCACCACCAGCTGTCCCATTTGTCCAGGCAGATTCGCCTCAATGAACCATCGCTACCATCGATAATCTCCTACCCACGTCTTGCCAGCTCTCAAATTCCCGAGGAGATGTGGC